AAAAAAAAGCCAAAGCCCTTAAGCATGCAGGTCTAGGCATGAAGTTCTTAGGTGCTCCATACACTTACATGTCATCTTTACCAATGAAACCCATGACAAGAACATGACTTCTTAGCATTATTGGCTCGGGACATGGAATCTCTGCTGTGTTTAACCTGTGATAACACATAAGAAGACAACGAAATGCTGAAAGGGTATTTAAACGAATTAAGAGAGCAATAGCCCAGATCAATGCTGCTGCAGCGAAGAGCACTGGGGCCTCCCAACTGTAACAGCACATGCCATAAAGGCTAAGACATAACTGATTTAGATCTGTACAATACGCGCCACTAGGAGTGACACAACACTGGCTAGCGAACAATCACACCCCATAGCTGGGAGCAGTCATTCCAATTCAGGAAATGGTGAACTGTGCAAAATGTGTACCTTAGAACTGATGAAATACAGTAGATATGTTCACACTTACCTTTTGAGCTGTAAGCCTGAAACATGCTTAATAAGAATCGTTGGACTCACACCTATCTAATAGCTAGTGGACCACAAGAATTCAAAAGAACTTCAACGAGTAATATCTGCTCAAAGTCAGTTATCCAGCATATGATACCTGTGTGCGACATGTAACAAGACAAAAAACACTGGGAAGGGGAGGGGAACATTGCCAAATTTTAAGAAATCTTGATCTCAACAAGATATGTGCTTTCCTTTTGCTGTATCCAAAATTGGACTGAAACTTAAAAACTAATGAAATAACACATGCTGAAATCAATGATTCCGAGCTATGTCAGTAGCATGACCAGCTGTGTCACTTCCTTGTTGAAAATCCTGTAGCAGCCCTTTACTTTCTTTCTTTTTTTTTTTTTTTGTAATTGTTTTTTGGGGTATCAGAGATCCAACTCAGGACCTTGTGCTTGCCAGGCAGGCACTTATGCCACTGACCTATCTCTCTGGCCAACAGCCCTTTATTTTCCTCGGCACAAGTTCTACACCTTTTCACATGCTTTACTGGGCTATTCAAAGCATCAGCTTTCCTGAACACAAACTGCAGAGCAGTCACACAGAGGTTGGGCAGCTAGTGTTGTCTGGCATGAGCTTCTACTGCCCTATGCAGCAGTGCTAAGTGGCCCAGAAAGCCCCTCTCTCAGGCCGAAGTGCACAGGCCCTCAAGGGCTAAAGGCCCCACACCCAGTCACCTGATCAAGTTCCTCATTTCTTTTTCTGCCCAAGTTTTCACCATTTTTCTAGGGTTTCCTTTACAGTAGCCATGACGAAACCTTGAACAAAGAAAGGATTCATTATTTCAATCATTCCACTAGTCTCATTTAATGTTTTAAGAAAGAGAAATTAAAGAAACTAGGAAAAGAGAAATCTGAGCTCACCTGAATTCCCCGCTGACATACTTATCCCGATCTTTGAACACCAAGATGGAAGTTTTGTAAATTTTGATTGCTCGGCTCTTTCCATCTGGTGTGCTGGCATGGTACACATTGGCCTATGTTAGGTTAAAAACAAACAAACAAACAAAAATGTGTTAGTGCATTCTTTTCCAAGGTACCACATTTGATCCTAATCTCAAAAGTCAAGAGTGATAAAATAATGCTCATCGAGAACACAACTAATGCTGGAAGATGTGTTAAAATGTGAAACATCAAGCCAAGATGTGCAGTTGTTTGGCTCAGCATGTGGCCTCCCGGGGCACCCCAGCATGTCACTCTGGCTCTCTAGAATCACGCCCCACAGGGTGAGGCAGCTGGCTTCATCTGCGTGAGTGTACTCTATCGGCTTTGTACAACAAAACCAGCGACGAGTTTCAGAACATACCCCACTGTCAAGCAATGGGTGGCTGTACATAGATACTTACATGTCTCTCTGCACACAAGTCTTTGTATCTCAAATATAGAAAATATTTTAGAATATTCCTGTCTCTAATAATTCCTTTTTAAAAATGTTTTTGGTTGTTACAGGGTCCCACTATGCAGCTCAGACTCGTAGTGATCTTCCTGTTTCAGGCTCCCCAGCGCTGGGATTACAAGCATGTACCATCACGCCCAGTCTTGGTGGCTACCTTGGCATGCCCAAGGGCGGGACTGGTGCAGCATGTGGTACTGGGGATTGAACCCTGGGTCCTTGTGCTTGCCTAGACAGGTGCTTAGACCGCTGAGCTATCTCCACAGCCCTCTAATAATTCTTATACAGGGACTTAGTAACTTAAAAACACCATGTTTGCCTTTTTATATATCCATTAAAAAAGGAGGAAGTCTGAGTCACAGAAATGAGCCATATGGGAGCTTATGGGTTAGCTCAGTTGTTTGAGTGCCTATATGGGCAAACCCAGTCAGGCACAGGGGACCGTGGTTTGATCCTCAGTTCCACATGCCATACCAGACACACCCTTAAGGCAGCCTGAGCCAGCCAAAAAAAAAAAAAAA